AAAAGTGATGATCACAACAATGACGACAACAGTTCTGGTGAAGGTGGTGATGATGACAACGCACCATTAGCTGCACCTCTGGGTTAAAAAGCCACATAATTATGATGGTTTGACGTCATTTCTTTATATTACACGTTCCTGGCTACAGATCCAGAGGTCCCGGGTTCGATTCCCGGCGCTAGAGATTTTCTGAGAAGTAGTGGGCCTGGAACGGGTTCCACTCAGTCTTATGAGGATAAATGAGAAGCTATTTCAAGAAAATAGCTACTCTGGTCTGGAAAACCGAGATTCATTGCTGTGGGGATCCGTTGCGCTGACCACATGACACCCTCTATCCACTAAAGTTGGCACTAACTTCGCCGACAAACAGTGGTCACTCTGTCGGTATAGTTTGCTTGTAGATTACAGGCCACAGAGTTTGTGTTGTATTATGGAGTAAGTTAGTTTGGTGCCTATGTAGTCTGTTCTGATATCAGTTTCCTAAAGCTGCTGCTGCTACACAGATATACACAGAACAACATGTCGGCAAAGCCATGGCAACTCCCTACTGGTTCTCGCAAAACATCAAGAGATATGAATCTGGTATAGTTTCGCAACCTATTAAGTCACCCTAACAACCATAACAACATGGGACTGTTTGATTATGCAGCTGCTGACTGAACTTGAAGCTGAAAAGAATACCGAAGAAGCTAGGAAAGTGTGACTTGGAATATATTTTGGTTTGAAGAACTACACATTCCTGGAAAGAATTCTTCGCATTTTGATGTGAATAACTGGAAAGAATAGCACTGTTGGAGACTTACATGAGATGATATAACACAGTGGAAAATAACATTAATATTGTTAAATACATGATCTTTTTTACTGTGTAACAATGAAGCTCATTATGGGAAGAAAACAGCCATTTAGCTAGTCAAAACATTCCCCACCTTTGAAACCTGAATGTTCATTACCATTTTCACAAAAGGTCGTCACTAGTCCCTATCCTGACCCATATAAATTACATACATTCCACACTTTCATATTTAATCAAGATAAATTTTTATATTATCCTGCCACCTATGCCTAAATTGGGTTTTTTCTTCAAGATTTATGAATGAAATGTTTATATTTCTTGGCACTTCCAAGTGTAATACATGTCCCTTGATTTGATCACCCTTACAATATTTGGTGAAGAATACAAATTGTGCAGCTCTTCATTGTGTAGTTCTTTCAATTCTCCTGCCCCTCCTTTGGTCCCTGTAATCTCATGAGCATTTTGTTCCCAAACATCGTCAATCTATCTTCTTCCTTTAACGTGAGTTTTAGTACAGCTGATAAGTACAGTGACATTCTTAGTACGCTAAGAATTCTGTAGATGATTTTAAGATGTGAAGAAAGCAGAAAACTAATTCTAGCTACCAACTTGGAAATATTACCCCAAAATAAAATATTCTTCTCACAGCCATCTGAAATATGAATAAGGAATGTGTAGTTGATAATGGCAATGGCCTGTGAAATGCAAAGAGGAATACCATGGCTTCATGTAGGATGTCTGTTCCAAATGCATCAGAGCTTCGTTTCTTGCCCCATCCTAAAATAGTGCACATCTGATGAGCAGGGGGCAGCTCTTGTTCATGGCGAGGCAAGCAGGCAAAGGCTTGGTACTTGTCTGGATGCACCTCCATTGGCAGCCGGAGCAGTGCCACGTCATTATCCACTGTATCAGCATCATACCCTGGGTGTGTCACCGCCTGCTCTACCTGCAGCTCCAAAAACATAATGAAAGCAATTGTTAAGCAGACTGTCTGCGTAAGCACCTATGTGAGATTAGAACTTGTAAGATTATATCCATTATACAACAGTTGTGCTGGACATTGTCCATTGTCTGAGAGAACATATTTTTGACATTGTTTCTGCAGTTGGGTAGCAATATAATTTTATGGTAAAAGAGTTCAGATACCAACTGTTACAACTAACCCTGAAATTAAATTAAGAACTCTTTCAGTAAAATGACAACAAATTGCTTGGAGATGTGATTAGACCCAACATCCAAAACATTGCAAATATAATATAGTATACACATATGGCGGACAACAGACCATATCTAACATACAGTGTAAAAATGGATTGAAATTTACGTGTACATTACCAAGTGTGACATTCACAACACAAAATTTGTAGGACTGGAAGTCTGTGCCATAGGAAATGGGCTTCATGTTTTATGCCTAGAGTTCGATATTAAATCATTTTCCAGAAAACTCGCCCATGAACTTAAATCCCTCATATTTAGGCCACGCCATAGCTCAAAAGGTTAGTTGCTGGCTTTCCACCGTGGCAGCCCAGGTTTCATCCCGGGTCTCGTCAAGTGGGATTTGTGGTGGACAAAGTGGCCAATCTTCATTCCACCAATTGCTCCACAATGACCCTCGCCTGTCATCTGAGGCTGGTACATAGGCCAGAAGTGGCCGCAGTATAAGGGACTTAGTCCCACCCCCTAGCAATAAAAAAAAAAAGCAATAAATCCCTCATATGCTAATCTAATGCTAGTACACAAGCGACATTTATGAAAAGAAAGTACCTGAAAATCCAGGTTCAGGATTCAGGATGGGACTCAGTGGTGTATTTTTATTCTTTGTGATTGATGAACCATCACAATTTTGTGAACAAACTATACACTGCTGTATAGGAAACACTGGACCTTTTCATATGTAAGGAAGTAATTTTCAATTTATTACCTATTTATTAATTGTCATTAATTGCTTCAGACTAAGCGATAAATTTGCCTGTTGACAATATCCTAATCTGGATCATGCTAAGGATGGTAAATTGTCTCTTTTGATGAATCCAATGATGACACTGGTTTTGGAAGAACTGGTGTATTTGTTTTTATTTATATGATACAAGATGAATTGAAAAACAGAAATTTGGATATCTTGGCCTCATGAGAAAAGTAACCAAAACCACAGCTACTAATCTCACATCTGGCATATGTTGCTTGGAGAGATCTGGAGACACTTTTTGTTCATTTTTTACTACAAGTCAGAATATGAGCACAAAGTATTGGGGGAAAATTTAACTCTGCATATGTCTGGAAACCATGCAAGTATTCAAGCATCCATACATGCCTTAATTTCAAATGTAAGATAATTAGTGCATAAAGTAGTAATGTTAAGAATTTGAAGAATGTCAGGTGGGTGGAAAGATGATGAGCTAATTAATAGAGGTCAGTGGAGGATATGTTTTTGTGTAAAATTAAATGTGTGACTATTTAATGAACAATGTCAATATGACTTATGTTCTCTGGTCTTAATGTTTAACAGTAAACAGTGAGATATTTTAGATACATGTAATAAAATATTCTGTATTAAGCATACTGTAAGACTCTGGGTGAATGGATTTTATAAAGCAGCTACTATATTTAAACAAGTTATATTTCTGAAGTCATATTTCTAGTGATGCCTTGGATATTTATTTATAGATACAGCCAACATTATCACATATTATTGTTTTAATCTTTCACAATGCTAGTGAAACGTGGACAGTGTGCATGGAATGAATACTAATATTCTGTCACATAATAGAATGTAGCATCTGGTCATAATCTGGAGAATTGTGAGAGAGAAATGATAGGCTATGGTTGCTTGCAAAATATGACTACTTTTAATGCTGCTACAGCCTAGTTTGTAGTTAAGAGGAATGTTGATCCTGAACTTAACAAGCACCATTTCATGAGACATAAGGGGAGTGAAGGTACAGTTCAGCGCATTCTTAGCCTTGCATTAGATGGAGATGAGTGCTCAGCATTACATCCCTTTACTCTCAGAGAAAAAGCCCCAAACCTCCAATTGAGTAAAAGGTTGGATGAAACCCAAAACCTACCTAGCATGGTACTTGAGAGAAAATACTGTTGTTTATACTGAAGTTCTTTGAAGCCTTCACAGTTGAATACTCAGTTCCAAAGGAATATATTTTGGTGGTAAATGCATTATGCACTAATTGATTTGCTGCAATAATTTCATACCCGAAACTCCAGTTCAGTTCCCTCATTTTCATCCAGGTCGTGTTCTCCTAACCTTACATACAGCCGCTTCCTCACACAGTGGGCTGCTGTTAAGACCCAATGTGGATCAATCAAGGTGCCTCCACAGAATGCCTCCTATAATTACAAAAGAAAGAGAAGTAATAGNCAGTGGTAGTGGTAGTAGTAATTCAGTTGAATTCTTTATTTGTACACACTAACTCAACAGGTACCAGATCCAGTTGTAGAATTGGCAGAATCACACAAAAGTAAAAGAAATCAATACAATCAAATATAGAACACATACATAAATATAAGATATTCTATTGCATAGTAGATGTAGGACAAGTATAACTTTATAATAGTACTGACTTTAAGAAAACTACTGATGTTTCCTAAATAATTTGCTCTTCACTGGTAATCAAATTATCACTTGGTGTCTGGAGAAAGTTCTACAGAAATATCCTGTCAGCCCTATTAAACCATGGGACACAGTTTGGCATGATAGTGGTAATAAGATTAAAAGTAATAAATTGCAGAAGAAAATATTTAATTTGCTGCAGCATTTTTTAATTTTATTATTGAAAAGCTTCAAATTTTAATAACTAAGCTGGAAAGGTCACTTTCTTATGATACTGGTTGTGACATAAACAATAAAATATATATAATAATAAAGAAAGCATTAAAAGAACAAGTAAGGAAAGAGATGAAGTTAAATGTTATAAAATGATGTCTGTTCCAACACATTTATGTGGAAGTGACACATGGATTAAGAACCCAAAAAGTTGTGTCGAGTCATTCTGTGCCAAATCATAAATGCGTGATAGTAGCTAAGTTTTGTATTTTATTTAAACTTGACCTGTTTATAGGCTATGACCTAGTATCACCAGTACTTTCAGAGACTTAGTTGTGTCTCCAGAACTAACTGGCTACATATTTCTTCAATAAACAGAACATTGTAAAATTACAGGGGAAATGTTTCACTTGAATGTGATAAATAGTGCCAGATGCCCAAGAGCATGTAAAGCTACAGACTGACCATACATGTGATGACTATGAAGACAGAAGAAGCTTGAACCTGATATATGGAGGACAGAAGAGGAATAATGAGGTTACCTTGAACCTGTTGAGGACAGCCACCTGCCATGGCCATCGTCCCTTCTGCGCTGGACGTCCACCAATAATCCTAAGCAAGGGCCAGGTTATGGTGTGATTTGCGATCCCACAGTGCAACTGGCGGGGTGACTTCAAGGCTCCTGCACTATCATCAACCCCTACTCTGTTGTTTTCTTGGCTCCAGACACCATTATCATACTCACTGTCAACACCAGCTGAGAACACCAGTTGCATATAAGTTGGTGGACAAAGTGAGGTGATCTATAAAAGTAAAACGGTAAAGGTAAAGTTATCCCTGTGATTAACTAATTAAGCACTATGCCATGAAGACGTATGGAGGAGTGGGTATATACAACCAGGTTTTTTTATCTTGGCACTAGTTGGAGGTAAATGGTCATCTTCACACCCCAGCTGTTTTACCCCAGGGGTAAGAGCCCACAGTACCCATTGGATAGGAGGTTGGATGGACCCCAGAGCCTGTCTGGACAACATGGAGAAGTGAAAATTCTTGTCCCCACTGGGACTTGAACCCCAACCCCTTGGCTGTCCAGCCTGTAGCCAGTTGCTATACCTACTGCGCTATCCCCACTCCCTGAGGTGATCTATAAGCACAGAATATTTCATAGTTGAAGACATAAGTTGCTTATTAGTTTATGGACAAAGCAATATATTCTATAAGCACAGAGTATTTCTTGAATGATCTGGGTTAGTTTCTTCCACGGTTCAGTCTCAATAATCAGACCAGCTAGCCAGACAAACTGCTTTTAACATTATATTGAAGTTCAAAATATCAAAGTTATCTCATGCACCAATCTGTCAACAGTTACAATCAAATATTGAAGGCTCTTCAACACCAAATCAAGGGAAAAATGCTCTGCCTGACTAGTGCACTGGCAGACCACTAAAACTAGAGGAACATAATGATATATTTTCTATTCTATGTTTAATAAATACTCTAATATTTTGCTTGGAACCATGGTGTTAACAATATTCACAGCTTCCCTTCACTTCATTATATGAGATATCTGTAAAAGGTGGCAAGTGTGGGGAGGCCATGTGATTCTCATTCCACATGACTTGACTTCTAGATAATAATTTGCCAGTGATAGGAATTGTACCTTTTGTGTGTATATGTGGGATAGCTTAGTCAGTATAACAACTAGCTGGATGGCCCACAATTTGGGGTTTGATTCCTGGCAGGGGCAAGAGATTTTTCTCTTCACAGCATTCAGACTGGCTCTGAGGACCACCCAGCCTCCTGTGCAATGGCTACTTGGGGCAATTTCCCTGGAAATAAAGCAGCAGGGGCGGGAAGCTGACCAGTCACCTCCATCTATTACTGAGGTAGAAAATAGTGGAGCTATAATCTTCACTCCCCCATACAACTTAATGCTGTGCTGCTTAATTGCTTAAGTAATTAACCACAGGGAAACTTTACCTATTTACCATATGTGCATAGGCCTACTAACAGAAGATGAAGGAAAAGTTATTTCTATGCTTAAAGCACTATACTATGATGACATACATGGGGATGAAAGTGCAGCTGCAAGCATTCTTAACCTCATTATGTTAATAGTGAATGGAGGGGAATGGTCAGCTTCAAGCTCCAGCTGTATCATCCATTTGCCCTTTGAGTACAAGACTTGGGAGGCTCTACACCTGGTCTGGACACAGCAGTAAAAAGAAAAATATTTCCGTGCTGGGAATGGAGCCCCAGTTGTCCAGCATCACTCACTTCAGTGGTTAAATTGTTTTGGCTGTACAAGACAGCTCTTATAACATGCTAAAAGTTCCTGAAATAACTCGTATATAAACCACGGAAGAAGAGGTCATTTTGTACACTTGCTGAAAATGAATCTGGTATTTACACATAGTACCTATGTAAGCTGAAAGCTTGTGTTACATTATTGTACAAAATCTAATCCACATGAATAATGCAGAACAGTTCATTGTTTTATCATTTATGTCTCATTACAATCTGGGAAAAACGAGATTTTAAGATTCCTCAGGTGGTTGGTATGTTATTTAATGGCTCTAAGACAACTCATAAAACAGCTGTAGGCAGTGGATAGTTGAGATGCCACTCAAAAGTGTACTACAATAACTCAAACCATACAAGTTATATATTAGTGTAGTATTCTATTTGAATTTCATTCACTGTTTGATCTAAGATGTAAAAATTCTAACCATTGGTATGTCCCAGAGAGTGGCTCTGTCTCTCTCCTTACATAAAATACAAACAGTCTACTTTGTAGGGCCCATTAGACAACGTTAATCTTCATCAGCAGGCATAGAAATAATAAGGAAGGATGAACATATAAGGGGGATGGAAACTGTCAGTTTCTGAAAGATAGAATTGTTTCAATTTTACATGTGAAATCACACAACAGATAAAGTCCAAATAAAGTGTAACAACAACAATGATGACAGCAGCAGCAGTGGTAATGGTAGTGAAATTAGTCGTCTAGAATAACTTTGATAAAATGCACATCACAATCTACCTCTTAACGCTACCATCTCCTATTGAGGAATTAAAATCATAAGAGTAAAGAGGGGATATGTAGAAATTGAGAGTGTGCATATGCTTGCATGAAGATTTGTGTTTGTATTTGTATTTTAAAAAGGGCAGGAGGTTAGGCATAAACGAACACAGTGTGATGTATTCTGTTTCCTATAATACACAAACCTCGTGAATACATAAACAAAACTCCAAATGACATGCATAAGCAAGTATGTTTTACAAAAGCATTCTTTGTTGTAATACACTGTTATGTTTAGCTCACCTTCATTTTCTTCATCAGTCTGCTGTTGAATCTGTCTGTAGATCCATCTTTGGCAGAAGCTACCTTCTATGTAACAGTATGCTACCTCCTGTATATATTCATTTCCACAGAAGATAGGTCGTTTACACCATCTGTGACAGACATACATTATTGTCATTCCAGACAATTCCACCATTAAGTCACTCCCTCTTATTATACAGAAAGACTATAAATGAGTATTCTAATGGGTATTGAGCACTGACTTTCCCCAACAGTTATGCTCTTATTGCACTGATAATGTACCAAACTAAACTCACTTCATGGAGCTGAGCCCTTCTTGAGAAGCCGCCAGCTCTGCAGCTACTCAAGAACTTAGCAGCATTTTATGGAACCCACAGTTTCATTACTGTGTTTACAACAGCATCCATTGGGTCCTATCCTGAGCCAGATCAATCCAACCACACCACCCCATTCTATCTCTGAGATCCATTTTCCTACATACATACATACATACATTTCGCATTTAAACAAGTCCAAAATACAATGGACATGAAACTGGTCACAAGCATAACACAGACCAACATAGCAGGAAGTACAATATGAAGCTAAACAAACACGGTAACTAATTATTTACTGTATGCTCCAAAAATTCATCAAATGTATAAAATGTGTTATTCATGATATTTGAAAATAAATTATTTTTAAAACTGATTCTATCTTTTCTAAGATTTTGAAGGTGTTTGGCAATCTATTAAATAACCTAATACCAGTAAACATAGTGTCCTTCTGGAAAACAGAAAGATTTGAAGTTGGAATATAAATTTGATTTTTGCTTCTAGTGTTTGGGCCATGAACCTCTGAACCTTAACAGAAATTAGTTTGATTTTCTATCACAAACAACATCAAGGAAAAAATATGTTCACATGACAATGGTAAAATTTCTAATTTCTTAAAAAGACTTCTACATGAGTCTCTAGGTCACACTCCCAATATGATCCTTATTACTTTCTTTTGTAATTTAAAAACTCTAGAATTATTAGTCTAATTGCCACAGAGGACTAGTCCATACTTGATGATAGAATGAAAGTAAGAAACATACACCATTTGCAGGGTTTTTAAGTTCATAAAATAAGATAAACTCCTAATTACAAAAATAACAGAACTTGAGTTTAGGAAGGATGTATTCCACATGACTCTTCCAATTCAATTTATTATCAATTTGTATACCCAAAAATGTTATTACATAGACTTCATTCATTACCAATTTTCCAGAGGATAATGCCAGCAAAGATTTGGGAGACTGTTTAGGAGCAAAATTAATAATATTAGTTTTGTTAATATTTAACACCAACTTGTCCGCTATAAACCAATGTACAATGAGAGACAGAGTATCTGCAACTTTGTGCTTAAACGCACAATTATTTTTTCCAATGACCAAAATACTGGTGTCATCCGCAAAGAGAAAAACATTCACCTATTTACTGATGCATAATGGCAAGTCATTGATGTAAATAATAAAAAGAAATTATCCTAAGGCCGACCCCTGAGGAACTCCTTGCTTAACTCTTTTCCATTTGGAGAAGTAATCATAATCATCATCAATTCTGAGATGCACCCTCTGTTTTCTATCTGATAGATAGGACTTAAACCAATTTAAATTACAATCCTGAACACCATAATACTCAAATTTGGATATCAATATCTCATGATTAACACGATCAAGCGCCTTGGCAAGGTCACAAAAAATCTCAACAGAAGTTATATCATTCCATGCTTGAAGTATGTCTGTGGTAAGTGAAGAAGCAGCATGATCAGTTGATAAGTCTTTCCAGCTCAACCAACTACACTACCGTGTGCCCCCCAGTTTCTCCCTTAGTTAAAGGAATTACTTTCATACTCAGAAAAACAGTCTCATAATACGGAATACGGAACATATTGGAAGATTTCATCAACCCATTCACTGAAATTGGATTTTAGCAGAGGTAAAGAATATGTAACGCATACAAACCTGTACCTCTGTGTAGTGCATGAGATGGAGCATGGGGACCATCTGCTCCACCTACCATACCATTTACTATTGAGCATTAAGTGTGTAGGCAATCCTCTGGATGTGATGTCAGAACTGTGCTGTGATTGCTCAGACTCATGTTTACGATGTATTGATGACCATGGTACATGGTGGCTGCATGCTAATGATTGCAGTGATAATGCGTGTTGGTATTTTCTTGGAGGGCGTTTGTTTTGAGGTAACCTAGATGTTGATATATGAACTACATGAAAGATTTCTCCTCTCTTCCGCTTGTGCTTTCTTCGTCTCTGATGTTGGTATTGACAGCGTATTCTTCGATCTCTTCTCCTTGGATGACAAGATTGTTGCTTCTGCATAACACACATCATCTTATTGTACCCAGCATTCATAATATGGCTATTTACATTTAATTGGTTTTCAGAATTCTTAGATGTATTGTTGCTTCAATATTCCAAAATTATGTGGTTCTGGAATATATGTGTACTGATCCACAGATAATTGGTTTCAGCCATGCCATTTGTTGAAGTCCTAACATTTCAGCAAATATTACATTCATAGCCCTAAAGGTAAACGTTTGTAATGTTATCCAAACCATTGGAAGAACTTCAACAAACAATGTAACCTAAAATTATAGCCAGTCTTATATATTTCTGTATTTTAAGTTCTTAATAATTGTAGTAAAGAGATTACCAGCCATGATTCTTATAGGAAAACCATCTGTTTTGAACTAAAACCAGGTACACTGCATGTCATTACTTTCATTCGGTTCCTGTATGCAGATATTCTGATAGAACATTGCATTTCTACATGACCACTTTCTCCTCCATCTCCTCAGACCCCTATTCATATTCACCTCTCTACCTCTAATCTGAAGTGACATAATCTCATTAAATTTAATTAAAAAATGTAACTGCATTTAGTATCAAAGATTTCAGGCTGTCACAGTGGTTCAGCATTAATATGGATCTTGTTTCTCAGTTATGACATCACGCAGATGTAGGTTGTACTGTCCATGTTTCAGGTGGGCCCACTCTAACAGTGTTGGATGACAGATAAGAAACTAGAAAATTGGATAATTGGTACATGAAAACTAAAGCCCCAATGTACTTCTTCCACCATATATTCCACATACACTGCCCTGGGATTGAACCAAAACCTGTGCAGTGAGGAGCCAGTGATTATCTGTGCTATGATACATCTCTTTGGGAATCTTTATGGTCTGAGACTTCAAGGTGAACTTCATCCCAGTGGCCGTAGACCAATTTATAATTTTTTTTCTCTCACTCTCACTTTGGAGCATAGAGCTGATTTCTCAATTTCACTGATTATTTTTACAGAGAGTAGGAGTCCTTGGATGGGTGATCAGCTCATTGCAAGACCTCTGCCTAAACGCAGGATGACATAAACACAGAATAAATGCATACACACACCAAACATCCATGCCTTGTTTGGGATTCGAACCCATGACCCCGGCTTCCAAGCGAGCAAAGACAGTACATGCCTTAGGCCACTCAGTTACCGTGACTGGCTCAATTTATAAGACAGATCTGAAATTCAGTGACAACCGCTCCATTTCATTGAGTGAGTATTAAATAATGATGGGGGAAATATAAAAATAGACCTTTAATGGTTAGTATCGGCAGATACTAAGGATCTTTGATACATCTTCAGCGTAACTAACATCTACACCATGTCATCACCCAGACACAGGATTCACATTTATATTTTGAATCATCATACATGTGGGGCTTTATTACTGACAGTAGATTTCAGTTCTGATTATTTTGCTGTTTAATTCATGAATATGGTGGAAGAAATGGGACAAAACATGAACTACTGTTATAGGAGTCAATTTCCATTCAAAAACTGGAACTCCCAAATACATGCCTCTTATATTCTACCAAAGTTATAGCAGCTCAGAGGGCTTTGTTGGTAAAGATCCTACAGCTTTCAAATGTTTCATTGACTGACAAAGCACGTTTTCATTTCCATATGAAACTGCAGAAAAGATAATGAACCACAGTAAACTAATTGAAGATCATTGAGACAAATGGTGTAAAACGTTATTTTTCTTGAATAATAATTCTAATACCTTGTTTTATCGTAACTAACTTGATGGAGGAGAGCGCCTTTTAAGAAGTACTGACAGTCGCATAACGGGCCTAGAAATTCTCCCCCATTTTAGAGATCTAGAGGGTCGTTACAGTGTTCAGAAGAGCCTGTCCCTTTTCAGAGAAAATTTAACCCAGTTTACAGGATCACAACCTATTTTATCTAGATCCATATCAATTATATTCTTAACATAAGTATCCCTAATGACCTCTTCCTCCAAGGTTAAAAAAGATGTTTGTGCTTCTGATCTCAGCCATAGTTAGCCCTCATTAGTCATTATTTTCCACAAGAAAAGTGTTCTATTTATAATACCCCTACATTAACGCCAAATAAAATGGAATAAGAAATAAAATAGAGAGAAAAGGAAAAAAGTGTATTTTCCCTCTCTCAATTGTAAAACTAAAGTAACTGAGAAGAAATATCAGGACAGGACTTTGCTTGTCTGTACAAAACTTTTGCTGTGGTAGGAGGATCCATATTAATTACAGCCTATGCTGTCGTGACAGCTTTTACAGCTATAAAGACTTATTTAGAATATCAACTTAACATTTTTATTAATTAAAATTAAAATATTCAAAGACTCTTTAAGTTATGTAAGTTATATAAATTACATTTCTTCAATATGTAGCTTCAGGAATCATAAGCAGCACTATACTCTATCACAGGAGTGTAGCTTCATTTCTAAGAGTATTTCTAATTACTAAACTACCTATTATTGAATAAGATCACAAATTGAGCTGGCATGAATATGGCATATAAAGTTTTCTTAGGCCTAAATTTTTAAGGAAACCCAGTTTAATGTTATCCTAAACATTCCACAGACCATTATAATTTTCTAACAGGAAACACAAGTTCTACTAACCTTACGGACAGTATTCCCACACCTATAAGGTCTTTGGCGATGATGTCTGCGGGAATGTATACATTTCGACCAGCTAGACCATGATGAATGTAAAATTATCTTTGGAGATGAAGCTAGAAGAGGAACACTGTTTAAAATAAATATTTTACAGAATGTATGAGTTTGTTAATCAATGCAGGGGAAATATATTTGGTGCATGGCACTGCTGGGCCAAAAAAATGTCAAACTGAATAACCATGTCCATAAACACTTCAAAAAATGATATTACATTACATTATATTATAGGCCTATGTCATGGCTGTTATAAATAAACCAGTTTTGCTATATCCCTAATCCCTTTAAGAAAGATGTGTCATTTTAAACTGTTTGTTACAATGAAGTGGAAAGTTTGTCAGTTTTATACACCGTCTACACTGGAAGTTTTATGTGGTGTTAGCAACTTTTCATGTAAATATGTAATGCAGATGCAGTAGTTCCAACAATTCTCAACCAGTCATGATTTTCTTGTTTCAAGAAGTGCATTTTTACAATTATGTAAATGTTGTATTAATCATTAATGCAAGTTATTTTAAAGCCCTCGCATCACACCCAGCTGAGTGTCAAGTCTCACTGATTGAGAAACGCTGTGGTGGGTTGTTAAACACATCCCTAAAACTGACACGCACTTAATTATTTACTTATGGAGCTGAGCCCTTCTTGAGGAAAACCCAAATCTGCAGCTACACAAGAATTTCCCAGTATTTTATGGAACCCAAAGGTTCATTACCATGTTCACAAGAGCCCTCTACTGGTCCCTATCCTGAGCCAGATCAATCCAATCCATACCATCCCATCCTGTCTCTCTAAGATCCATTTTAATATTCACCCACCTATGCCTTGGTCCTCCCAATGGTCTGTTTTCCTTCTGGTTTTCCCACCAATATCCTATATGCATTCCTCTTTTCACCCCATTTGTGCAACATGCTTGCTCAGAAGCCAGGTTCGTTGGTTTGAATCCTACTCGAGGCATGGATGTTTGGTGTGTGTATGCGTTTATTCTATGTGTGTGTTGTTCTGTGTTTAGGTAGAGGCCTAATACGAGCTGTTCACCCGTCCAAGGAGTCCTACCGTCTGTAAAAAAAATGATAAATGAAACTGGAAAATCAGCCCTATGCTCCAAAGTGGGAGCGAGAGGAATAATAAAAAAAGGCAAAGCAGCAACGTCTTTAAGCAACACAACTAAGTAAGTGAACCACTCTTAGTGACTTTTTAAAGTTGTGATACAAATTTCACGTTTATATGGATATTAACTTCTTCTTTTTATTCTCTTTGACAGGTTAGGTGCTCTGGTCTGTTCTCACTCGAAATTAATCTAAAACTATGAGTCTTAGGGACAGTTCGTAGGCTTCCTTGGATGGAGGAAAGGTCCATCGCAAGACAGCTACCTACACAAAATTAAAAAAAAAACAGAGAAACTCATACATCTATGCTTTGAGTGGAATTCAAACCAAAAATCTCAGTATTAGAGCAAGTGAAGACAACTGGATGAATTCTTACAACAAAATCATATAACTGGATTTATACTTCGCCAGTATCATTAAAATAATGTGATCTTGCAAAGGACAATTTGCCTGTTCACTCACTGTTCCTATTGCCCTAATCGGGCCCCATCTCTTCTCCCCCTCCATGGGCCCAAGTGACTACCTTCTTTGGAACCTTTCTATATAACACTATCGGTTCTCCATCCTACATACTTCAAACCTGAATATGGAGGCAGCATGTTTTTCCGAAATATCGGTATCCGCCTAAAAGGGTACACAGTGTCACAACACAGAATGTCGAAATCACCACCCAAAAATTCTCAAACTTGAGGCAAGCTTATGTGAATCAAAATAACAGACGTACGTAGTTCGTACCGAAAGTCATGAGCAACACTTTTTGCATGCAGCCTGGGAATAGCAGACGAAAGAGAGTACGGTGGTAGGTGAACCAGCTGTTGTGTTAACCTTGAGTGTTTTGTGATGTCAATAGTGTGCATCACGTGACCAGTATCACTCCTAACAAAATGGCCGACAACGATATGTCATTTTGCCAGTGTGCTGTCATCGAATTTCTTGTGAAAGAGGAAATCCCTGCTGCAGAAATTCACCAGAGACTTCAGCGTGCTTATGGAAGTGTGTGCATGGGTGAGAACAGTGTTCGAAGATGGGTGAAACATTTTAAAGATGGGAACACCAGCATCATAGATCAGCCTCGGAGCAGTCATCCTCGAACAGCCTCAACTGAACACAACAAGGAAAGAGTGGATGAGATCATTCAAGCTGACAGGCGTGTGACTGTGGACACAATGGCCCGAAAACTTGGAATAGGGCACAGTGCAGTACAGGAGATGATTGAAAGCTTGGGCTATAGGAAAGTTTGTGCTCGTTGGGTCCTGTGGTTATTGACCGAAGACCACAAAGGTCTGCGAAAAGCCATCACCTCAGAACCTCTGCAGAGATATCGACACGAAGGCGATGATTTTTTGCTCTGTATTGTGACAGGGGACGAAAGCTGGTTTCACCATTTCGAGCCTGAAACGAAACGGAACTGCAGAGTATGGAATGGCACCATTTGCATTCTCCATCAAAAAAGAAGGCAAAGACAGCGCCATCAGCTGCGAAGGTGATGGAGACAGTCTTCTGGGATGCAGAGGGGTTTATTCTGGCCGAATTTCTGGAACCTGGGTAAACCATCAATCCTGCTCGTTATGTCCAGACGCTGCACAAGCTCCATCGTGCATTGCGCGATAAACGTCTGGGACGAAACATCATCATCCTGCATGGCAATGCTCGCCTCACATTGGAAGCAATTGGAAAGATGAGATAGGAAGTTCTTCCACACCCCTCCTATAGCCCTGCTCTGGTACCCTCCGACTACCATTCTTTCGGATTTATGAAGGATCAGCTGTGTGGACAAAGTTATGAGACAAGGGAGGCAATTCAGAAAGCAGTGCCTCAGTGTCTTCGGATGGCTGGAACGGAATTTTACAGAAGGGGAATTTTCAAACTCCCAGAACGCTGGGAGAAATGTGTACAAAGAAGTGGCGATTACGTGGACAAATAAAGAAAGGTCTGTAGATTGAGGTGGTGTATTTGGTTTGTCAATAATAAAGCATGTTACTTTACAAAAAATTGTTGCTCATGACTTTCAGTATGACCCTCGTATTTATTCATTCATCACAAACATCTATCTGGGCAATTATCTGGGCACTGGAAACAGTTAGGGTAGCTTCTGATTGTAATGACTTCGAGTTAATGCTCAGATGGTACCTCATTTAATGTTCTGCAATTGTTTCATGAATTAAAAATTCGTTCATCTTGACAGACATTAGTGTATATTTTACTATATGTCCTTTTCATTTCTATATTAAGGTCCTAATGTCGGTAAAAAGTTTAAAGTTGTCCCTGTGATGAATTATTTAAGTACGACGCAATGAAGACGCATGGGGGAGTGAAGGGATAGCTCCACCATTACCTGAGCTCGCCACTAGATGGACGAGATTATTCAGCTTAACGCTCCTTCCGCTTTACCCCGGTTCTCATTGGATAAGAGGCTGGGTGGGCCCCAGAGATGGACTGTGGAGGAGAGGAAAACCTCTTGCCCCTAATGAGAATCGGACCCGGCTATACCTACTGAGCTACTCCGGCTTCCGGCCCTACTGATATGTAATGAAAATAAAACCTATATTTTTTACCTTAATACCTTTACCTTAAAGCAACGCCTACCTGTTGTGACTTCTGAGGAGCTGCTTGTCTCTTCATTTTCTTTGTTGCTGGAAGAAGCAGGAAATCGGGGATTTCTTGTCGTCCCATTCAGTCTGTGCTTCTTGCCCACACAAAGCTGGAACAAAATGTCGGTCATAAAAATTATAGACCTTCTCGAGAAGCCATAATATCTCACTTATTGAACAAATTTTGCATCTTCCATAGAACCCGAATGTTCATTAAGGCGTTCCAAAAATCCGTCTACTCAGACGCCCTGTGTAACATTTAATATCATGCTAAATTTCTTTTATGGTGATTTTCTGTTACCCTCCATCCACCACCTAAACCCAAGGACCACTCTGAAGCTAATTGAATTGAATTGAATTTATTTACATTCTATAAATCCTAAGCAGGTTAGTACCTTTGGATACAGAACAAGTCAAAAGGTTACATACATAAGTACAGGCAATTTTAGCTTAAAAATTAATATAACTTAATTTTACATCATTCTCTATTTACATTGAAGTATTCATCTAAAGAGTAGAAGGAATGAGCATGTAGATAATTCTTTAACTCTGATTTAAACTTTTTAGTATCATTGCCCAAGTTTTTAATACTTTGTGGCAGATTGTTGAACACTTTTATGCCAGTAAAGTAGACTCCTTTTTGATATACTGATAAAGTTGATGAGGGTAGGTGGAAGTTATATTTTTGTCTAGTATTCATGTTATAGACATCAGAACTGCTTTTTCACTGTTACACTAACGTACATACCATAAAATCACGGGATTGTCACTTCAAATATCGGTTATATGCATTTTCAGATATGAGAACTGGAACACTTGGACTTGCGAGGGAGGAAGCAGGAGGAGAACTGAGACAATTATGTAACGAGGAGTTTCATAGTTTGTGCTTTTCGCAAATACTATATTAGAGTGAACAAATATAGGGCGATCAGAGGGGCGAGGCATGTAGCATACAAGAGAGAGAGATAGAAAAAAAATATATAGAATTTTAGTTCAAAAGCCTAGACCACTTCGGGGACAATTTCGTGCAAGATTCTTCTCATCAAATAGGTTCTAACTTGGTTAATGGAAACCAGAGTCATTCACCTGACTGTTACAGTTTATACATGAATGCCGCGCTCTGTCTACCGGTACAAACCCAATGATGGATACAAGTATTACCTCTCCATTAAAGTCGCCGAGTTTGAAGGAAGTGTTTGTTATGCCTAAGGATCGTTTAACTCCAGCACGTGGACTACCCTCGTCCTGTTTATACTCGCACTTAATTTATGTGCTTAAGAATTTATCTTTGAAGTCGAAAATTTCCACTTTTAGGAAAGCACAAAAGATGTTCTGCCAGATACAGAAGAGCAGCAGGAATTCACGATAAGAGTATGTTTGTTAGATTTCGAAATATAAAATTTGAAATGCAAGGAGCAGAAAGATAAGCTTGCATTTTCATATAACCACACTACAAACGAAAACAGAAATGAATAAGCAATGTGGACGGAAGAGAACTTGTGAAATACTCATATATGTTTAGGCGTATATGGAGAGATAATGTTAAAATGGATCTCACGCAAATACTATACTAGGATTGGAGTGGATTTGTCTGGCCCAAGATAGGAATTATTGGGGGGGGGGGCTNATATGCTGTTTGCGGCGGGGGGTGTGTGTGTGTGTGCAGAAAGGTGTATTTTGGGGGGGGGGGGGGGTTGCGAACAGGCAATAAACCCGCGGCTTCCATAAAGGACGATGAATTTCTTGATAACCTGAGGCACTATTAACATATTTTAAGAAGACTTAACCACTCTTACATAATGACAAGGGCGTTACTGCCCATTATCGACCAACATTCAAACCTAATATTCTCTAAGGTTAATATATTATTGGCAAAGGACACAAGCAGACATATTTTTCATGAAAACGTTCAGTCATGGCAGGAATGGACAGAAAGATGGGAGTTCAGATTATGAACTTTTGGTTTTCGGTACATACCCTGAAAATCCGAAAGTGGTTATTGACATTTCGAAGGAAACTGCTGTCGTCTTCAACTCTTCTGCGCTGCAGGTTGAGGCAGCAGGTTCCCCCGAAACGTCAGTAATCATGTTATATTTTAGCGTCCTGTTACACTGATTCATGTACATGGTTTATGCTAACCGTCTTACAGTGCATACACTTTTTCACCTTATTCTTCACTTCCACACTACATGTTTCAGCACTAATGTGCCATCTTCAGGTGTCTTTATGCACGTTAAATTATTGCACTGCATGCCATGATGTCTTCATTCTAAAATGACTAAAACGACACACACATCCAGCAGTACAACGCATGCAGTAACAGGAGCAAAACACAACACAGAACACGATACACAAATATATGTAGGAAGAATGCTCACATAAAAGAGGATTGGCGTAATTCGCGTGTTTGAGTGCGCCGTAGGATGAATCCTGAAAAGTTGTATTATTTAGAATTCATCGACATATATGACGAATACAGATTTGCGGCAAATTGAGGAATATAGGGAAGAGGGCCGCCCAATCATCTACATGGATGAAACCTATATTCATTCATCGCACACCACCCCATATGCATGGAGTGATGGATCCATCCAGGGATTATTTTCCCCTGTGTCCAAAGGCCAGCGACTCATTGTTATCCATGCAGGGGGAGAGCAAGTTTTCATCCCTAATGCCTATGTCCGCCTCAAATACCACCAAAAAACAGGAGACTACCACAGTGACATGAAATGCACCAATTATGAAAAATGGTTAAAGGAGCGACTTATTCCTAACCTTCCCCCAAATTCTGTTCTTGTCATTGATAAAGCTCCCTACCATAATGTACAACTAAACAGAGCCCCTAACTCAAATTCAAAGAGAGGTGTTATGATATCCTGGCTAAAATATCACCATCCACCTATTACCTTCAATAACACTGATTTTTCATCATTGCGGAATCCAGACATATATAATACGATCTTACCACTCAAACTGAAAGACCTTTCCTATAAAGTAGATGGAATCTTTGCAGAACACAATCACAAAATTTTACGACTCCTTCCGTATCACCCAGAACTCAACACAATTGAGTTAATATGGGCCACCGTAAAAAATTGGGTTGCTCAAAACAATACCACATTTAAGATGGATGACGTTATTAAACTGGCAGAGCAAAAATTGGCTTCCACAACTGCAGAAGAATGGCAACGTAGGTGTCAACATGTAAGGAACATTGAGCAACAATTATTGGCATGGGAAGGCCTTTTGGACGTCTTCCATGTTGGCGGTGATAGTGATGACAGTTCTGATGATAGCTCCGGTTCATCTGGTGGTGAGGAGGAAGGACAGGCATGTGGAGATGATATCTATGAGGAGTTGCCCCGTTAGAATAGACCCGTGTAATATGTAAATAAAAGATGTAAAAAAAAAAAAAGAAAAATCAACCGTGTTCCTGGAAAACTCAGCTTATTCGCCAGATCTCACTTCATGTGACTCCTTTTTCTTCCTTACCATGAAGAAGTACCTCAGATGAACATATTTTGAAACCGTGGATGAGATTCAGAATGTTACGAAGTCCGTTCTGAGCAACTTGCAAGAGATTTGCTTTTGGAAGTGCTTTGACAGAAATAATGCTGATATTCTTTTATAATTTCCGCGGGGAAACTACTCTGAAGGGCACCACTGCAGTTTGGAATATAATTTAAGAGTGTGTTGGAGTAGAGTCTTGTTATTTAATTATCAGGCTTCTTAAAAGGAGGCGGTTTAGAATGTATTATACATGCGGTAGGTAGAAAGTATGTAGGCTATATGCAGATTGTTTTGTAACATATTTATATGTAATGTATTGATTGTAAAATCAAAAGCCATCGAATTTAATTTAGAAAATCTTCCATTAAATGACATGATGATGCGATAGCCTCAACCGGATAAAGGAAGATTGTTATTACAGTACTTAGACAGCAAATTCCAGACTGCTTCTATTGTCCATTAGCAATTCTGTGTTAATAGTACTATGATGAAGAAACTGAAAGCCGTCAAGATTCCCGTCATCGCTATTTCGTTTTTTTTTTCTTCAGAGTAAGAACGAGCATTGTAAGTCTCATCTCTCGATAAATAAGGCATCCAGTGCTTATATGTAATTACTCTTCTATAATGCCCATCCCTCGGAGCCATATTTAAAAAGTGAAGAGTAAAATCTATTTCTTACAATCGAGCATGGTAGTTCTAAAGCAGTCCATACTTTTCAGTGTATTAATAACAGATCTATTTGAAACATTTCTGGAGATCATAGGTACAGAGAACTGCATCTTCTGGGATGTAACACCGCGTAGTCCGTTGGAAGTCAAGAGACGTGTCGGAAGAATATGTCGCCTCCATTTTCATGGTCGAAGAGTGAAGCAACCAAGAAAGCAGCATGAAGCAGAGCTCTGCTTTCTATCTGCATCATGCTGGTGTCTGCTTGGCTTATTCTTCTACCCTGAAGATGAAGGAGACGTCAGTTGAAATTCAACGGACCACGAATCGTTACATCCCAGAAAATATAACTGCTCCTAGCCATTCAAATCCTGAATTAGTACTACAACGTATTAGTTATTTAACGACTATGTATCAACTGAAGGAGTTTTGTAGCTCTAGTTGAGTTATAAGAGAATGATTATGAACTGGGGATCATAAATGAGTGTGGAGAAGTCCTGGCATATGGAGGTACTGAGACGAAATGATCTCTCTCAGGGAGGAAATTCGGATATTGGGCCTGAAAATACGACGCCTAACACTGTGAAGCAAATTAAATAAAAACAGAAACCGTAACTAGAAATGCATTAGTTTCGAAGTCCTATTACCATAGACTTACATAATATCAGGATGCTATTGTAATGAGTACAGCCGTTGCTATGCAATAGGCAGATAAAGAAACACCTGTTACCGATGAACTTGCATATGATGTGAATACTGCATATGGCAGAGTTTTTCAACCCTTTTCAACTCATGGCACACCAAACGAAGCGCTAAAATTGTCAAGGCGCAGCATCAATTTTTATGGAGAAATTAATCATTAAAAAATGAGTAATAAGATTGAGTTTGAAAGTTCAATAGCTGAAATTCTAATCATTGTGTTATTTTCAAAAAT